AACTCCTTTGGGAAGAGTTTTGAACTTAGGAAGTTCTAGGAAGCCTGAACAGGAAATGAAGGTAGTTATGAGAGTAAATTCTTAGCACAAAATGGAATATAACATTTTGAGTATGATAATAACTTACCAAAAGAGATGAACTTGATGAAAACTTGTTGAAACACACACCACCTCATGAGTTCTTGGAGGAAAATGAATGAGTTCTTGAAGGTTTATAGAGGAATTTAGAAGTGGAATGAAGTTTAAAGAAATTTTGTGAAGGAAAGAATGGCCTTCGTCCGAGTTTAAGGAGGGATGAGAGAGAGAGAGAGAGAGAGAGAGAATTAACTTGGTCATTACATGGATGTTTAGAGAGTTTGAACTTAGAAATATGTGAGACAGTTGCATAGATATACAACATGCATTATTGAGGCGTCAAGTATTAGGATAATCACATTTCTTTTCTTTTTATTATCAAAACCGAAGATAGGAGGGGGAGGGGGGAGGGGAATGAAAAAGACTATTGGGCTTGGATTTAAATAACAACCGAGATCATGTAGCCCAATAAGAGATATTTCGGCCCATTGGGACCAAATATAAGTTTACGACCCAAAAGAGTAAAAGAAATAGGTTTTCGGCCCAATGTGATTACATAAGTGGGTTTTCGGCCCATAGAGACAAAGTGAGTGATTTTCGGCCCAATAAGGCCCATGAAGGGTCTTATAGCCCACAATATTATTGCTTAATTAATGTGGGTCCAACTAGGGCCCAAATAAGGATTCTTGGCCCAAGAGAACCAAATTGAGCGTTTACTGGCCCATTAGGCCCAACATGAGAATCCTAGTCCATTAAGAGGTTTGAACCGGGAAGTTACGATTACAAGCCCATAGTAGAGTGACTACAACGTATTGAATTAGGTTTAGATTTTTCACGAGTGAGTTTTGATTTGAATTGTCATTTTTGAATGAATAACTTATATAACATCATACTTGGGGTTACAAGATACACCCGAAGTTAATTACACATGGACAAATTTTCCTAACCCTAAAAATATTAGTTGTGACATATAAGGTGTTGTTGCAATAGTAGTGGTATGCGGGTTAGAGTTCCAGTAGACTGGTAACGTCTAGTGGGGTGCCCTAGGGGCTATATATAGGTTTTCTTGCATGTTCCTTGTTTGGTTGTGGCTCTAGAGTGGGATCATCTATTCGGGTGGCTATCTCACCTCTGGTTACTTTTGATTACGCATTCCATGGAGGTTAGCTGGTAGCGGAGTAGTGTGTTGTGAAAGGTCTAGCAGAGTATTACAGGAAGAGCGGTTGGGTTGAGGCGACAAGCTAACAAACCTAAGGTATTCCAATTCGACAACTGATTGGGCCAGGGTAATCCAATCTGATGATTGTGGACCCGATATGCATGCTAGTATGTTTGTTGTATGGGGTATTTGAGGGAAACTCACTAAGCTTTATGCTTGCTTAGTTGTTTATGTTTCATGTCCTATCGGTGATCGTGGGAAGGCGAGGGCGAGACTGTACACATGCATCAGTAGGATTGAGAATTCCACGTTAATTATATTACTCTGAGTTTTTATAAATGTAATTCAAAATAAATGGTTTTCATAGAATTTATAATTGTGAAGTTTTACCTTAATAAAAATAAATTTTTTTTGTTGTGAAAATAGGACGTTACATATATACAAAATTATTGCCTTAAGTCACACCTTACATACGACGTGGCTCGTCGCAACTTGTAGAAATTTGAAGTTTGACATTGTTGTCAAGTCATGACTAACGTTATTTAAAACCCCATATCTAACCTAAACACATGATAGAATTCATGATCCACCATAACTGATGGGCATTTGCATATGCAATGCATCTTGAAAGTAATTAGTGAAACTTACAAAAATGAAATCAGATAATTACTTCCAATAAAACGAATAAGGTTAATTCACTAATTTATATTTACACTAAAAACATCAAATTTTGTGCATGTTTTTGTTCAAATCTTAACATTTGTTGTACACATAACTATGATGGATCTTAGGTCATCCGATATCAATACGCGTGAAAACAACTACACATCATGATATACCCTTTTAACAACAAACTCACTATACCTTTGGAGATGGTGTTCAGTAGTGAATAACCAATGGAGAGAGAGAGAGAGAGAGATTTGGATTTGGTGAACAGTCCATGATAGCCACCACTCTATAAGACAACCACTAGGTTTTGGGGTGGTGTCCACTAGTGGACATTTCCTCTACATAGGATTTCTACACGTTAAAATGTCTCTATACCGAATGGCCTTAAAGATGAAAATTTTAAGTAGTGTATCTATGATGAGTCAATCTTTGTCTATGGCTTCGATCTTATTGAATGGACCCTAACATATGAGTTTCACTGTCAAAGGAGATTGTGACAAAGCTATCGGTTTTCGTTGTTTTTGTTTATTATAGCTATGGAGAAATTACATATATCCAAAAACGAGCAATTAACCATAATGTTTTCGTTGGTACAAATATTGGTCGTGAATGAATGACGGTTTCTCATTTATTTTCTATGCAGATGATACGATTATCCTCAGGGAGTGGTCAAATGACAATGTTAAATATTGTTCAAATTTTACGATGCTTTTATTTCGTTTGTGGTTGAAAATCAACCTACAAAAAGAAAACAAGTTAGTGGGTGTTGAGATGAGTCAGAATGAAGTTGAGCACATGATAGGGTTGTTAGGTGCTCCACAATTTAAATTCCTTTCACATATCTAGGGCTTCTAGTTGGATATAACATGTCTCATATAGAAGGGTGGAAAGAAGTTATTAATAGATTTTAAGGTTAAACTTTAAACTATAAAGTCAAGATTTTATTGGTACGAAGTTAAATTATCCTTTTGAAATCGACTTTAGTAGTCTCAAACATTTATTATATGTCCTTGTTACAAGCCCCGTAAGTAGCTATAAATTTTTTGGAAGCATTGAGAAGTAGATTTTTTTGGTGAGTTTTGACCAAATAGGTATATTTGAAAAAATATTTTATCAAATAGGTGTAATTCAAAAAACTTTTACTAAATAGGCATAATTTCAAACATATTTACCAAAACTTGTTTACCAATATTTTAGATAAAACTTTTCATAGTTTTTAATATAATTTTTGACAATTTTTTTAACTCTTTGCTATTAACCTTTATAAATAAATAACTACAAACGTATTGTATCTTATGTCATCTTCCTGTATAGTGTATAAGGATTTAATTATGCATGAAATATTTAAGCTTTTTTTATTTTTATTTTTATTTTTATTTATTATTATTTATTTTTTTTGAATGAAATCATCATAAAATGCAATAAGTTGTTGAAAAAAAAGGCAAACAACACTTTTCCAACATCTATCTTAAAAAATTCATAAAGAACTTAGAATTTCTCATAAACTAATCCATTAACTTTACAAAAAAGTAATAACATAAACTAAACTAATCCATGTATCTTATGTTTCTCAAAGAGAACAAGTGGACAATGTAAGTAGATTCATACGAAAAACTACAAAACAACTTTAACATTCAATTACGAGCAGGAGCGGAGCTAGGATTTACGAATAAGGAGGCTGACAGCTTCATATCGTAGTATTATATGAAAATATATCACAAAGAAATTTTTGTTTCCATTAATCTCAATCTTCAAAAAATTTCAATTAACTATAAACATCAACTCGTATTCATCCGTTAACCTGTAATTTTGGGTCACACTGACCTTGTATTCATTCATAATTTACCCAATGATTATAATAAATTAATTAACTAAATTATGAAACCATAATTAAGTTATTAATGACAAGTAACAGTAAATAAAAGTATGCAAAAGATTTAAACTTTACCTTAAAAATGAAATCATGTTGATGAATCTGTTTAGCCGGAAACGAATTTTTAATTGCCAATTAACCTCTTTGAATAAAAATAGCTACATTGCCTTTGTTGAATCGTCGAAACAAACGATTCTTATGAACAAATAGGGATTATAATGAGATAGCTACCGATGAATTGACATAGTTGGGAGTATAAATCAATAGCTAATTAAAATAAAATAGATAGGGATGGAGGCGGTGGTGTTTAGATGTGGGCCTCAATTTTTTTTAGTGATAATACCCTCACTGTTTTTTATGTATAGCAATTGTTTTCTTTTAAAATAATTGGGAGGAGTTGAATATTGTTAAGTAAATGATGTGGGTTAGAAGTTTAATGGTTAGATTAATTTATTTATAATATAACTAAAGTTTGAAAAATGATTACGAGATACATGTACAGTGTATAACCACTAACCACTGATATTATAAAAGAACAACGACTGCTCTAACATTTTAGACCAAACAAAAACGAATGACATTTTAAACTATAAGACCAAATACACTTATAACAAACAAAATTTCATCACAGAACAAACCAGAAATTCAATCATAATGCTTTTGCTTTGTTTCCAAATTTGACTTGGTATTGGACTAAATGGTAAATATGTTTAAAAGTACATTAATTTGTAAATATGTTTTTAAAGAGAAAAAGATGGTTTGTGACTTGTGTTAGTCGGAAGAAAATGTTAGAGAGCAAAGAAGAATGTGATATTATAAATAGAAATTTATATGCTTTTAATAGAGCTACCTTTTTTAAATGGCAATACAATACTAGATAAAAAGGACAGAAGTGATCTTTGACAAAAAAATTTTTTTACTAAAATGATATTCGTTTACGACAAAATTACAGAATTGTACCTCTATAGGAAATAGATGAAGTTCCAAACAAGGACAAAATTATGAAATGGTTTCTATATATGTAAGACTAATTTAAAGGTTACTCGATAATGTTTTTTCCGTGTAAATTATTAATACAAGTAATACAACATCCAAATCCGAAAAGGCTATAAAACCCAATTAAATCCCACAAAGGGAAATTTTCTACACCCTACAACATAAAATCTCTTTCCTTATACATTACAATATAGTATAGTATATACACATAAACATACCAAAATTCCATCATCGAGCAATTCCACGTGACGAATTCGAAGAATCCGAAGAAATCGAAAAACACGGTGTCATAACCGAAGAACTTTCCGGAGAATTCCGGCACACAGGACAGGTGGCATTTAACTTAAGCCATTCATCGACACAATCCGCGTGGAAATAGTGATTACATTCCGGGATTGTTCTGATTGCCTCTTTAGGTTCGTAATCGGAAAGACATATGGCACAAGTGGGATCATTATTTGGTAAATTACGATTTTCTCCCCATAGGGTTTTTGGGTAGGACTCGATTGTCAGGCGGTCTAGGCCGGTGGTTGATGGTGGTTGTGGGGTGATCGCGATTGAGAATAGGTCGATTCGGTGGCGGTGGGTGTAGCTTCTCATTTTGCTAAAAGTGTAGAATGCGAGCCCGATGATGCATATTAATGCGGGTATACCGATCCCTAAACTTAGTCCGTATATCGCACCCCTTGGAATAGCTACAAGAAATTTTCAGTATATCAGTATCAGTGTCAGTATATCAGTATCAGTCCAATAATACATGTCGAATACAGTATAAAAATAATGTCATATCAATCATAGATCATATATTTGAATGCGAGTATATGAGATTCATTTCTATTAAATTTTGGTTGTATATTCAAATTTTGTAAACATGTTTATGTGAAAATTGAGAGGTAGAGTGTTTTTAGGTGTAAGATCATCTACGAGTTGCCTGATTCAATTTGATGGTTGTTGGGATGGTTGTATGGTCAGAAATGAAGTTGAGAAAGGTAAAGGTATGTTCAACAAGAAGCAATCTAGGTTTCGGAGTAGTACCTTGTGCATAAGAAGATGTACAGTGAAAGGAAGTAAGGACTAAGGAACTCACCATGGGAAGAAGAACCGAAGCAAGCAGTTTCTCCATCGTCACTCTGCAATCCACAAGTTCTACCATCAAGCTCACAAGATTTGCAATACGGCCTAAACCACATCAACGTCAATTCGTTTCTGATATTGCCGTATCGCCTGATCGGGACTGAGATCGTCGACATATGTTTACAGCTCGCCGGAATGTCTCCGAGAGGGATCCATCCAGTCCGAACGGCGAACACCGAATGATTCAAGCTTCCTAAGCAGGGAAAAGGAAGCATCGGAACAGTCTGGAACGTGAATCCTAGATTCTGAGATGTACAGTTGAAAAAAGTGTAGCTCTCCACGGGACTGAAATCGAAAGGTGTGTCGGTTAGTTCGGTATCGGCGATTCTCTCCAGTCGGCAGAAGTCGGGATCGACGCTGATGACCTGTGAAGCGTTACTCGATCTTATATTTCCGATTCAAGTTTCAATTCGGATTTAACTCATAAACAACCACTTGTATCACCGAAACAAAATGAAATCGAAAGGCTATAAAAAGATTAAAACCTGTGCAGTGTATGAAATTCGTTTCACGATGAATGATTGAGACGATGGAAGCTTGAGCTGTGTTCGGTTTTTCTTGTTACAGGATAGATCAAAACCGGGGAATCCACACCGAGATGGTTGTCGATCCCGGAGACGGAAAGGGAACCGGACCTGAGGTTCGGTGGGGCCGCAGGAAGCCGGACGGCAGTCATCGTCGGCGAATATAGATTTGAATAGGAAGAAGAGAAAAAACGCTAGGGTTTTTTTCTTCTCCATAGGGTTGTTGCCTTTGGCCACCATTGTTAAAAGAAAGAAAGAATCTGTACTGTAGTAGTGTAATGGTGGCGACCATGGACGCTTTTTCAATTTTTGTTCTTGAATTTAGAGCGAATATTAAATTCTAAATCAATTTAAATCAATACTAGTAATCATTGTATTTGATTTTAGACCCTTGATTTTATTGAAATTGACATAAAAATCCTAAATCCTAAAATTTACAAATTTTTAATGATTTTATTTAATATCGATTCTTCTAATATTAATATTTTAAACTTAAGTGGCTTTTTTACAAAAACGACAACTAATTACACATGAAGTTGGTCATGCCAAATACACGATCGAGTGATGCCTAATTATGCCCAAAATTGCTAATTTTGCATTATATCACCCTAAAAACATGTTTACTCCAATCCAACACTTCCTAACTTTATTTCCAATAACTTATGATGGACCAATAGAGTTAGAACTTTGTTTAAACATAATATCAGATCCCAACAGCATCATTAATAAAAGGCTAATCCATAATTTGGGTAGATTAACATCATCTTCATCATTACGAAGTAAAAAACGACCAATATAGTGGATTTTCTTCGATTATTTAAATATGAACCACTTGAATCTACACTTAAACCATATTAGATCACTAAATCCGAGGTCAAGGTCGAATTTATTGTTGACAATGGTGAAACCAGAGAAAAGTTGAAGAGGGAAAATTGATTCTTCATTATTGAATAGTTGCTTACAAATGAAGCTAAATTAAAACTATATACAAGAGAAACAACTGATTAACCCTCTAACAAACTTCTAACTAACATCACGTGAGAATCACATGATTTTATTAAACAGAATTAACTAACAATTAACTATTAATTCTAACACCCCCCCCCCCCCTCAAGTTGGAGGGTGAATAACGCCCAACTTGTTCAAAAGAAATTTATGTTGCTTTGTAGGTAGATTTTTAGTAAAAAAATCTGCAAGTTGAGAATGTGTTGGAACATGTTGTAACGAAATCAAGCCATCTTGTAGTTTGTCTCTGACAAAGTGACAATCAATCTCCACGTGTTTGGTTCTTTCGTGGAAGACAGGATTTTTAGCTATGTGGATGGCTGCTTGGCTGTCACAATGAACAGGTACAGGTGTCAAATTCGGAACAGTTATTTCATGAAGAAGGCGAGTGAGCCATGCAAGTTCAACAGTAACTCGACGCATGCTTCTATATTCTGCCTCTGCTGATGACAATGAAACAGTCACCTGTTTCTTAGATTTCCAGGCAATTGGACAATTACCCAATAAGATAATGAATCCGCTCACACTTCTTCTGGTTTGGGGACATGAAGCCCAATCTGAATCGCAATAAGCATTGAGGGTAAAATCGTCTCCATTATTCATTAGTAACCCTTGATTTGGATCATTGTTAAGATACTTTAGAACATGTAAAGCTGCATGATAGTGAGGCATTCTGGGATCAGACATGAATTGACTGAGAAGTTGAACTGCAAATGCAAGGTCTGGTCTTGTATGTACCAGAAAGTTTAATTTTCCCACTAATCTTCTATAAACTTCTAGAGAATCCATATGATCACCTTGACCTTGCAAAAGCTTCAAATTTGTAGGTAATGGACAAGAAGCATGACCAGTGCAGTCAAATTCTTTTAGCAGTTCTGTGGCAAACTTTCTTTGAGTGAGAATGACACCTGATGAATTATACAAAACTTCAATTCCTAAAAAAAAATTCAAGAATCCAAGGTCTTTAATTTTGAAAGTATTATCAAGAAATGTCTTCAATTTTGTGATTTCTTCTTCATTATTTCCAGTAACCATTATGTCATCAACATAGACTGCTACAAATGTTACATAGGATCCCATATTCTTGTGAAAAAGAGAATAATCATTCTTTGAATTTTGATATCCCATTTCTTTTAACGCTGAAGAAAGTTTAGCATACCATTGCCTTGAAGCTTGTTTGAGCCCATATAGTGATTTTTGTAGTTTACATACTTGATTTGGTTTGCATCCCTTCAAACCAGGTGGTGGCTTCATGTATATTTCTTCATGCAAGTCACCATGCAAAAAAGCATTATTAACATCTAATTGATGCATATTCCATCCTTTCTTGATTGCAGTTGCAATAAGAGCTCTAATAGTTGTCATTTTGACAACAGGTGAGAAGGTTTCAGTGTAATCTATGCCAGCTTTTTGAGTGAAACCTTTGACAACCAGCCTCCCTTTACATCTTTCAACATCGCCATTTGCCTTATATTTGATCTTGTATACCCACTTACAACTTATGGGCCTTTTACCCTTTGGAAGATCAACAATAACCCAAGTATTATTTGCTTCTAGTGCCTCAAATTCTTTATTCATGGCTTCTTGCCATTCTGGAATTAAAACTGCTTCTTCAAAACTAGAAGGCTCAGAAAGACACGTTATATTATTGAGTAATTGTTTGCTTTGGGATGATAAAGTTGAGAAACAAACATGAACCGGTGAAGAAGCATTGGTAACATTGTGGGTGCATGTGAATAAGGAATAACAAGATGCGAGATTGTGACATGTGGCATTGGAGCAAATGTATTCTTTTAAATGAGAAGGAGGTCTTGAAATTCTGGTTGTATGTCTGATAGGTGCTTGTTGGGGAATTAAATTAGGTTGAACTGATATCAAAGAAGGTGTAGTATTATCTTGTGAAATACCAGAGGTAGGTAATAATGAAATTGGGTCATCATTAGAATCTGTATAGTACAAATCTGTAGATGGGAATAAAGGATCATTAGGGGTTGATTTGTAAAGGAAAATGCTTTCATGAAAAATAATATCTCTGGAAACAATTATTTGTTTGGTGTCCATATTGTAAACTTTGTACCCTTTTTGCCCAAAAGGGTATCCAACAAATATGCAGGAAGCTTCCCTTGGTTGGAATTTGTCTCGTTTATGTTGTAATGTACTCACATAACACAAGCATCCAAAAGATTTGAGATTTGAATACGAAGGTTGATGACCATACAACATAAAGTATGGAGTTTTTCCTTTTAGAATTTGAGAAGGAAATCTGTTGATCAAATAAGTTGCAGTGAGGACACAATCACCCCAAAATTTTAGAGGCAACTTTGATTGATACAGTAAAGCTCTAGAAGTTTCCAAAAGGTGTTTATGTTTCCTCTCAACTACCCCATTTTGTTGAGGGTTATATGCACAACTTGTTTGGTGAATGATCCCATTTGCTTGAAAAAATTTGATTGCCTCATTACTAGACCCCAACTCTAGAGCATTATCAGATCTTATAATTCTCACTGTTTTCCCAAATTGGGTTTTTACCATTTCAATAAAACCTTTGAGAACATTGAAAGAATTTCCTTTGGTACTTAGCAAATGAGTCCATGTACTTCGACTAAAATCATCAACAATTGTCAAGAAATAAGATTTGCCATTATAAGTTCTTGTATTGTATGGTCCCCATGTATCAATATGAATTAGATCAAAAGAAGAACTTGTCTTAATAACACTATGACCAAATGGAAGTTTGTGTTGTCTTACTTTAGAACAAATTTCACAAGCATGATTGAATGTGGCATTTTTATTACTAAGAAAAGAAAGAGTTTTCAACTTGTACATAGGAAGATAGCCAAGTCTATTATGCCACAAAGAAAACAAATTGTCATCAGACATACAAACTGAATTTGAAAAAAATGACAGCAGGATCTGAAGGAGCATGTGAAGTCACAGAAAAAGCAATTCCATTATTGTTGTTTTGATTGGAATGCAGAAAGTATAAACCTGCTTGGTGTCTACCAAGAACCAGAGGCCTCTTCTGAGAAAGGCCCTGCATTAAGAAGCAAAATTTGTCTGAAAAAATGACAAGAGACCTTAACTGATGACATAATTTGCTAATGGATAACAAATTAAATTTGAAGTGAGGAACATACAGAACATTATGGAGTACAACATCATCAACCAAATAAGTACTACCAATCTCATAAGCACTTATTTGTTGTCCATTTGGTAAGGTGATGTGATATGGGATTTTAAGAGTTTGAATTTGGAATAAGAGTGATTTGTTGTGACACATATGGTCACTGGCTCCAGAATCAATGATCCAAGTAGTTGCAGTAGTAACCAAGCAATGACAACTTATGGAATTATGTTTAGACAAGAAAACATTACCGGCAAAATTTGCATTAGAATGACCCGAAGATGGTTGGTTCTGCGAGTTTTGAGAATTCTGAGCCTGTGTACTTCCATTTCCATCTTGTTTTGTGTTAAAATTGTTAAACATCGGAAAGAACTGATGATATTGTTGAATTTGTTCATTTGAAAGTTGTGGTAGTGATTAAATGTTTGTAGAATGAACATGATTGGCTTGTTGAGTTGTCCCTTCACCATTTGTTGATTGAAAACTAGAGGCATTTGCAGCAACAGTTCTTGTCCCCTTTGTAAACTTGAAATCTTTAGGAAAGCCAATTAACCTGTAGCATTTGTTGGCAGAATGGCCAGGTTTCTTGCAAAAATTATAAGTAATGTTCTTCTTTGCTTCATAATTGCCCTTGAATTGATTGATTTCTTGATTATTCCGAAAATGCCCTCCACTAGACTTAACATTCATGGAGGCTGAATCAGACATAAACTGAAAAGTAGAAGAATGGACTTCTCTTTGTTTCTCGTCTTGAATCAAAAGAGCATATGCTTGAGTGACAGATGGGAGAGGTTTCATTAAGAGAATACTTCCTCTTACATGACTATAATCACTGTTAAGTCCCATAAGAAACTTCATCAACCTTTGATTCTGTTGTTCTTCCTGAATTTTGTGTGCTGATCCACAAGTACAGTCAGGAATAACAGATAGAGCATTTAGTTCATCCCATTGTTTCTTTAACTTGGTGAAATAAGTAGCTAGGTCATCAGATCCTTGATTCAAATCAGAAATCTCCTTTTGGAGATGATATAACTTTGCTCCATTTGATTGTCCAAATCTGTCATCTAAATCATCCCAAATTGCTTTGGCAGAAGATGAATAGAGAACAGATTCGACAATATCATTTGATAAGACATTAAGTATCCAAGAAGTTACCATATCATTGCATCTTTGCCAATTATCGAAAGAATTGTGATTTGAAGCTGGT